TATATAATATAATATACACAGGTGCGGTCATAAAATAGAATATCATGAAAAATAGATTGATTTCAGTAATTCCATTTAAAAAGTGAAACTTGTAATATATTCATCACATTACATACAAATCATATATTGTCGGGAGATGTTTATTTTGTTTTAATTTTTGATGATTACAAATGACAACAAATGAAAATCTCAAATTCATCATATCAGAAAATTAGAATAATGTGAAAAGGTTCAATATTGGATGGCCCCTGTGCCCTCAACTCTAATCACTAATTAACTCCAACCACCTGCAAAAGCCATTAAATGTCTTTTCAGTCTAGTTTCTATAGGCCACACAATCAAGGGGAAAGACAGCTGACTTGACATTGTTCCAAAGACGCCATCCGACAACCTTGCACAAGGAGGGCAAACCAAAAGGTCCATCGCTAAAGAGGCTGCTGTTTCACAGAGTCTAGTGTCCAAGCCCATTAATAGAGAGGCGAATGTAAGGAAAAGATGTGGTCGAAAAAAGTGTACAACAAGAGAATAACGCACCCTGGAGAGGAATTTTGAAACAAAACCCCTTCAAAAATGTGGGGGAGATTCACAAAGAGTGGACTGCAGCTGGAGTGAGTGCTTCAAGAACCACCACACACAGACGTATGAAAGACATGGGTTTCTGCTGTCGCATTCCTTGTGTCAAGCCACTCTTGAACCACAGACAGCGTCAGAAGCGTCTTGCCTGGGCTAAAGAGAAACAGGACTGGACTGCTGGTGAGTGGTCCAAAGTCATGTTCTCTGATGAAAGTAAATTTTGCATTTCCTTTGGAAATCAAGGTCCCAGAGTCTGGAGGAAAAGAAGAGAGGCACTTCATCCACGGTGCTTGAAGTCCAGTGTAAAGTTTCCACAGTCAGTGATGGTTTGGGGTGCCATGTCATCTGCTGGTGTTGGTCCATTGTGTTTTCTGAGGTCCAGGGTCAACGCAGCCACATACCAGGAAGTTTTAGAGCACTTCATGCTTCCTGCAGCTGACCAACTTTTTGGAGATGCAGATTTCATTTTCCAACAGGACTTGGCACCTGCACACAGTGCCAAAGCTACCAGTACCTGGTTGAAGGACCATGGTATCCCTGTTCTTAATTGGCCAGCAAACTCTCCTGACCTTAACCCCATAGAAAATCTATGGGGTATTGTGAAGAAGAAGATGCAATACACCAGACCCAACAATTCAGAAGAGCTAAAAGCCACTATTAGAGCAACCTGGGCTATCATAACACCTGAGCAGTGCCACAGACTGATCGACTCCATGCCACGCCGCATTGCTGCAGTAATACAGGCCAAAGGAGGCCCAACTAAATACTGAGTGCTGTACATGCTCATACTTTTCATGTTCATACTTTTCAGTTGGCCAACATTTCTATAAATCCTTTGTTTTTATTGGTCTTCAGTAATATTCTAATTTTCTGATATGATGAATTTGAGATTTTCATTTGTTGTCATTTGTAATCATCAAAATTAAACAAAATAAACATCTGAAATATATGAGTTTGTATGTAATGTATGAATTTAATATACAAGTTTCACTTTTTAAGAAATGGAATTACTGAATCAATTCTATTTTTTCATTAAATTCAAATTTTATGACCAGCACCTGTATATATACACCCATTTAATACCCTGTCAATAACCCGTTTTATATTTAATAACCAGTGCAATAACTATATATATTAATCTAGTGATGGGTGAGATGAAGCCCCCCCCATGAGGCATTCAACCATTTGGCCAAATTGCTTCCAACATCCCCACAGTTCCATGAGGACTTTCATTGAAAACATGTCCACCACCTACAGTGATCTGTGATTTTATTTTTTTGCAATTGTTTTTCTTTTTTCCCTCATAAGTTCCCTTGAAATTGTTAATGGTTGGTGTGTATAAGAAAATCTTTTGTAAGTTTTTTAAGTGTAAAATTCTTAAACAATCGATTTAAGGTGCACAGTTTTTTCCCTGCCATTTTAGTAAATACAACTCAAAGCAGTCAGTGAAAAGTGTGCAAATTGGGCAACGATTTAGCAAAATGAAAAGATGTTAGTAATTTTTATTCAACATGATAGTTTTTTCCACGTTTTTTGGTTTGTAATCAGGTGGGAAGTTGTGTTCAAAAACCAATCTTTTGGCTAAACCAACTAATTTGCCCAATCTATATTATTACTCGCGCAAAACAGGCAAATTAGTCCTCATCAGCCAAAATAATTAAGTTTTAATCGCAACTTTCAAAAGACAAAGACAGGTCTTGAACCACCAACCTCTAGAGTGAGAGCCTGTCTCTTACAGATGACCCTCCTTAACAGTGACGTGTTAACACTGCTTTGTCTGGTGGCTTTCTTAAATTTTGATCATTACATATTGTTTATTTAAAACAAATTTGCTTTAAGCAACTAGATTTGGTTTGGAAAAATCAACCAATCTATTCTTGAGAATCTACCAAACTATCAGCTACGCAGCTCTCCAGCAAACTCCCACATCTTGACTGAACACTGAGGCTATTTAAATGCCTGTCAAAATTCTTGCGCTTCCTGAACCACTTCCCAAAGCAGTGACATGGTATCACGGTAGCGAGGCCTCGGACGTCATCAATTTTGGCCCCTCCATCTAAATGAATCACGCCTCGACACGCGCTTCGGGGAAACGCCCCCTTCATTACTCGACACACGCCTCAAAGCCTTAGCTCATCTCGTAACATCACTAATTAACTCCCATCTTTATAAATACCAGTTTTATACCCTGTGCAATAACCTGTTTCATATTTTATATTTAATACCCTGTGCAATAACTTTTTTTGTATTTTATATTTATTATCCATTTCAATAACTATACATATATATACCCATCTATATGAATACTCATTTAATACCCTTAGCAATAACCTGTTTTATATTTTATATTTAATACCTAGTGCAATAACACTAGGGATATATATATATATATATATATATATATATATATATATATATATATATATATATATATATTTCCCATCCTTATAAATACCCATTTAATAGCCTGTACAATAACGTGTATTTCATATTTAATACCCTGTGCAACAACTCTATATATATATCTATATATCTATATAGATATAGATATATAGATATATATAGATATATCTATATACACTCACCGGCCAATTTATTAGGTACACCTGTCTAACTGCTCGTTAACACTTAATTTCTAAGCAGCCAATCACATGGCGGCAACTCAGTGCATTTAGGCATGTAGACATGGTCAAGACAATCCTGCAGTTCAAACCGAGCATCAGTATGGGGAAGAAAGGTGATTTGAGTGACTTTGAACGATGCATGATTGTTGGTGCCAGAAGGGCTGGTCTGAGTATTTCAGAAACTGCTGATCTACTGGGATTTTCACGCACAACCATCTCTAGGGTTTACAGAGAATGGTCCGAAAAAGAAAAAACATCCAGTGAGCGGCAGTTCTGTGGGCGGAAATGCCTTGTTGATGCCAGAGGTCAGAGGAGAATGGCCAGACTGGTTCGAGCTGATAGAAGGGAAACAGTGACTCAAATAACCACCCGTTACAACCAAGGTGGGCAGAAGAGCATCTCTGAACGCACAGTACGTTGAACTTTGAGGCAGATGGGCTACAGCAGCAGAAGACCACACCGGGTGCCACTCCTTTCAGCTAAGAACAGGAAACTGAGGCTACAATTTGCACAAGCTCATCCAAATTGGAAAATAGAAGATTGGAAAAACGTTGCCTGGTCTGATGAGTCTCAATTTCTGCTGCGACATTCGGATGGTAGGGTCAGAATTTGGCGTCTACAACATGAAAGCATGGATCCATCCTGCCTTGTATCAACGGTTCAGGCTGGTGGTGGTGGTGTCATGGTGTGGGGAATATTTTCTTGGCACTCTTTGGGCCCCTTGGTACCAATTGAGCATCGTTACAACGCCACAGCCTACTGAGTATTGTTGCTGACCATGTCCATCCCTTTATGACCACAATCTACCCAACTTCTGATGGCTACTTTCAGCAGGATAATGCGCCATGTCATAAAGCTGGAATCATCTCAGACTGGTTTCTTGAACATGACAATGAGTTCACTGTACTCAAATGGCCTCCAGAGTCACCAGATCTCAATCCAATAGAGCATCTTTGGGATGTGGTGGAACGGGAGATTCGCATCATGGATGTGCAGCCGACAAATATGCGGCAACTGTGTGATGCCATCATGTCAATATGGACCAAACTCCCTGAGGAATGCTTCCAGCACCTTGTTGAATCTATGCCACGAAGAATTGAGGCAGTTCTGAAGGCAAAAGGGGGTCCAAACCCGTTACTAGCATGGGGTACCTAATAAAGTGGCCGGTGAGTGTATATATCAATTTAATACCCTGTGGCACCTCCTTTTTGACTATTGAGCTGATGTAGCAAGTACATTTCTCCACTGTGAGATTAATGAAGTCAATCAATTATACTGAGTGTTTAGTTCTTGTGGAGGATCTCCAAATAGGCCAAGAGCAACTTGTCGTGCTCCTAGTGCAGAACCTGAGAGTCTAATTGTGATGGTGTGTTCTTGTTAAAACATGTTATACCTGAAAGAGAGGATGAAAGGCTGTGCTTTTCTTATTTATTTTTGATAAACCGAACAAAAACTGTCTTTTCGTAATTTCTCGGACATTCATTTCACACAAATGTATATAATTTATTCCCTTAGCTTCATGACGTGCCTGCTGCGTTAGCCTTCCTGTTATCCTGTTATTTAGTCTGTTGGTAAAACAAAAAGCAGTTGGTAAATCTGTGCAGACAATGAAAATGTCTTTTGATTAAATGCTGTGGTCTTATTTTGTCTAATACTACTTTTTTTAGATAAGGATATGAATAGAAATATTGATGTATGTTTATAGTCATCAGCAGGTTTGTTCAGATTCTAAACCCGTTTTTAAATCTTCTAAATTATTCCGTTTTAAATGAGTGAAAATCAGTGTGTACCTTTTATGATCAGTGTTCACAACTACAGGAAGCAGGAGAGAAGAAAACCTCCATGAATCAGCGCAGCTGTTTAACTTGTGTTCCTTCGTCTCCAGGCAGCTGCTGAAGACCATCGCCATGGGTCAGGTTCTGTCTCTGCTGATCTGTGGCACGGCGGGCAGCAGTCAGTACCTGGCTCACGCCGGGGTGGAGACGCCAATGCTGCAGAGCTTCCTCAACTACGCCCTGCTGCTGCTCACTTACACCCTAGCCCTGTGTTTTCAGAAAGGTCAGACTGTACACCTGCTTAGCCAGTGGCGGCTGGCCAACAGAGGGCACTAGAGCGCCGCACCACCCACCCTATGACCCTCATTAAGACACAAAGAAATGATTATAATTTCATTTTAAATTAAAATTTAAAGTATTTAGCAATATATTTATATATATTTTTTAGATGTGTAAGGTGAAAATATAATCTTTAATGACAAGTAAAGCGTCATTTAATTTTTCATTGGATTTGTGACGTGTTTCTGCCCTAGGACGCAAGAATGTATACCCGTTGACTCTCGCTAAAAGTTATACATTCACAGTAGCTCCTCTCTAATACAAACGTATAGGGCGGCTTGGGGCGCAGCTACGCAGTGACCTGAGGTAACAGGAAGTGTATTTGCTCACCACCTCCCGCCACAGCGCAGACGTTTTGCGGATGATTAACAGGTCGAGTTGCGAGTTGGAGACGCATTGTAGAGCGAGGGAGAGAGAAATGGTGCAAGGAAAAGTGAATTCCCTAAAAGCAACACCTTTTGAGCAGAGAACTTGGCATAAGAGGCTGGAGGTGAAGGCTCTTGGCCCTGATAAGCTGAATATCTGTATTAATCAGCAGTCCAAAAACAGAGGGAAACTACAGTCCTTTTCCAGGATGTGGTTTAGCAAGAAGGCTTGGGTAAGTGCATGCAGCTAGGCTAATGCTTTATTCTGCTTACCCTGCGTCTCTTTTCAAACGTCAGGATCTGACCCAGCATGGATAACAACAGATAGGACCGATTTAAAGCACATTTTAGAAAAGGCAATGAAGAATTAACAATCTGGGATTCACATGGAAAATAATAGTGAGGGGGAGAAGAAACCTCATGATGATTCCCACAGTTCATAAAGCTTCATGTGAACATGTCTCCCCCTACTGGTGGAGCAATATTATCTGTGATTTCTTTGCAATTGTTTTTCTTGTTTTTTTTTTTTTTTTTTCATTTAAGTTCCTTTGAAATTGAAATTTTTTGAGTGTAAAATGTCCTACAAGAGAACAGTCATTTAATCTACATTGTGTTTCTTCCATTTAAGTGAAATAAGCTCAAACAGACAGTGAAAGTGCTTGTGCAAATTGGGCAATGATGAGCAAAGTGAAAGCTGTTAGTCATTTTATTCAAACATGATAGCTTTCTACAGTTTTTGGTTTTTATCGGGTTGTAAACTATCTGTTCAACCAATCTAATTTGGCAGTGTTATTACACTATATAATACCTATATCTATATTTTTACTAGGGCAAACCAATGCAAATTAGTCAAAATACTTGTCTAAAGTGGGTCTGGAACCAACAATCTAAGGAGTGGAAATCCATGTCTTACAGCTTTCGCCACTAGAAAGCAATACTAGTTCAGACTACTGTTACAACTGTGACTCAGATTTTGAGCATTACATTGTTTATTCTAACCAAAATAGTTTTAACAAACTAGATTGGTTGAAAAAACAACCAATCTATTCTTAGAATCTCTCCAAACTCTGACAACTGACAACAAATTCCCACATCTTGCTGGAATAGTGAGGCTGTTTAAATGGCTGTCAAGATTCTTGCACGGTCTGAACCACTTCCTGAAGCGGTCGCGTGATATCATGGTACAGAGGCTTTGGAAGTAATCAATTTTGGCCCCTCCCCTAAATGAATCCCGCCTCGGCACGCATCAGGGAAACGCCCCCTCCATTAGTCGACACACTCCTCAAAGCCTCGGCTCATATTAGCATCACTAGAAAATAATATAATATAGTGTACTTTTTTTGGATGTTTGTAAATGTGCGTAGTTGCTCTTAAATAAACACATTCTCAGAAAATGAATAGTTTTACAGATTAAATAAATATAAAGCTGACTTATAGCTTCTCCATTATAAAACTGGTACGTTATTTTTTTAGGTTTGTGACACAATATTGGACCATGCAAAACACAGATTTGCCTCCACAAAGCCTCGGGCCTTTACAAAAAGTAAACCTGTATGTGAAATTTTATTTTTTATAAAGTGTTTTTATAATGTTTTTTGTTGTTGGCATTCATATAAATCTACTGGTGTGATAACTTTCTATATCTTTGGTTGGTTTTTGGTATACATCTAATTTAAATGTATAGCCCCTAGTGGGAAAAAAAACTCCACCAGCCGCCATTGGGCTCCCCATGTCTGTCATCTCAGAGAATCTGGATCATTTATGGGTTTTCATGTTGGTTCTACTGCTCCTTAATGCTTTTAAGGTTTTTTATATGTTCATAGTTTAGTGGGAAATAAATAAACAACAAAATCAGGCTTATCTCCTGACCATAGATAACAAACTGTTTGGCTTCTCCAGGTGACACTAACATCCTGAAGATCTTAAGAACCAAATGGTGGAAGTATCTGGTGATGGGTCTGGCTGATGTAGAGGCAAACTACACAGTAGTGAAGGCGTACCAGTTCACCACCCTGACCAGCATACAGGTAAGACAGAAACTTAACGAACCTCTGGAATGATTATAAGTATTGATCATTTGAAAAGACTAACTGCAGAAAATGGATTTAGAGAAACTGAAATAATTAGAATCTAAATTAAACCAGAAAAACTTGGACATAATAGAAAAAAGGCAACATATAAACATATGAATTGATCTGAAATTCATTGTAAATCTCCATCTGTTGCTGTTTCAGCTGCTGGACTGTTTTGTGATCCCGGTTCTCATGGTTCTTTCATGGATCTTCCTGAAGACGCGCTACAGGCCTTTGCACTTTGTAGCCGTGACGGTGTGTCTGCTGGGGGTGGGGGCCATGGTGGGAGCCGACATTATAGCCGGGAGAGACACGGAGGGAGGATCCAGTAAGGATGCTTCGCCTCTGTTTTTCCACCTCTTTAACAAACATCCAACACTTCTTGAAGTTGTAGTGTACTGCAAAAAAAGGAAATCTAAATAAGTCATTTTTGCTCAAATTAAGTGCATTTTTTCTTGAATTGAGGAGGTAGGTGAGACACTTTGCCAATGGAACAAGACAATTTACATTTAAAATAAGAAAAAAACAATTGAATTGTCTTATTTCAAGTGCATATTTTCTAATTATCTTATTTTAGGAGTAAAAATACTCATTCCATTGGCGGATCATCTTATTTACCTGCTCAAATTAAGGGTAAATACACTTAATTTAAGACATTTTTAGGCCCGAGCAGCTCACCGCTGCGAGAGCCTATTGTTCCTGTACCGTTTATTCTTCTTTTTCTTTTTCTTATTTTTCTCCGCTTAAAAGAAACAGCTTTTTGGAGGCTTTAACATGCCCAAAAACTCACCAAACTTGGCAGTAAATTGTCCCCCTAGTGAAATTTACGTATGATAATGGAATCCAAAATGGGCGTGGCCAAATGGCTCTACAGCGCCCCCTAACGTGAGTTGGGGAAAACCGTAAGTCACAGAGATTTGAGATTTTGCAGGTGCATAGATCTCACCAAATCATGAAAAAAGTTACATTATGGGTATGCTCTAAAACCTACAGGATGTCGGCCATTTTGGCTCAAAGGCCGATTTTTGGCACTTTTTCAATTTTGTTGACGTCGAACTTTCGCGAACTCCTCCTAGGGACGGTGAGCCATCGGCTTCAAACTTGGCATGTATGCAGATAAGGCATGTGAGATCCAAACTTATCAAACTTTTTGAGTTTTCCAGCATTTTAAAGGGGTGTGGCCAGGCCTCGAAGTTGGCGTACTCGCCAACATTTTCAAAATGCAATAACTTTTACATATGAAACTGAAATGACACGAAACCTGGTAGTATTAATCCTCTCTCGGTTACCAACAAAACTGTATGTTAAAACTGTTACATAATTGAAGCCACGCCCCCTGAGAACCGGAAGTCACGTTTTTTACTTGGAATGGTCCCTCTCTGTCCTACTTGACCTCATCAACCTAAAACTGTGTCAGCAGACAGACAACATGTTGTCCTAACTTCGTTTAAGGCACAGAGAGCTTTAGTCAAATGGTGTTGCCGTGGCGCCATGGCGAAGTGAGGCGTTTCGCCATGAAAATAAGATTGGCTCTCATTTCCTCATTTATAATCAGATCTGCACCAAAGTCACAAGAGATGATCCTAGTCCAACTCCAAACAGGAATCCAGAGCAATATTTTGTGGGCGGGGCTTAATTTTCCTACAGCGCCCCCTAGAAATAACAAACTTCAAACCACCAGCCCCAAGCCGTTTTTAGTCCTAGAATATTGAAACTTTGAACACATTTGCACCTCATCAGGCCCTAACTAAAAGCCTCTTGGACCCATGGTCTAAACCCCACCGGAAGTCTGCCATTTTGAATTTCATTTTACTCTGTTGTGAAAGCACTGACCTCTTTTCAAAAAATTGTATAAAATCTGGATTTTATCCAAATGAGCTAAAACTTTCAAAATATGTTCTTTACAAAGCCTGCTGTAAGCTGGTTACAATAGCAAAGCGCTTCTTTAAAGTCCGTCACTCTGATTTTTCAAAAGTTTGCGTTCTCGCCTAGTAGTTCGCCAAGTGGACAGATAATGCCAGGAAATAATTCAGCCCCTAGCAATGCTCATTCCTAGGATAATGAAATTTGGTATACATCTGTATGAGCCCCCCACCTACAAAAAGTTTCATTGGAGCCATCGTCTAAACCTCTCATGAAGTCGGCCATTTTGAATCAAATGGTACCCTTATGAAAATAGAATCACTTTGTTAAAATATTTCTAAAAAATCAGTCGATTTCTCAAAAAAGCTAGGACTTTTGGAATGTATTCCTGTAATGGCTTCTTGTTTGATGGTAAACACAGCATAGCTCTTCTTAAAAGTCCGTCACTCTGATTTTTCAAAAGTTTGTGTTAACAGGAAATTGTTGTCTCTCAAAAAGTTTTATAGCAATCCTAGCCAAATTTGGAACAGTTATTTATCCTTTGATTATAGAAAAGACTGCCAAGTTTAGCGTGAATCTATGCATGTTTGAGCATCTTATGGGGTTTTCAACTGCCGCAGTATAAGGCATTCAAGTTTAAAGATTTTTCTTTCTTTAAATTATTTATTAAATCATCTAAAAAAAATCTAGGACATGCAGGATGTGTTCCTTGACATTTGTGATTTTTTTCGGGATTTTATTGCAAACTATGGATTTTTAATGATTTTTTTTGTTTTGAGTAGAGTCGGCCATTTTGAATTACATTTCACCCTGTTGTGCAATCACGGACCTCTTTTCAAAAAATTGTATAAAATCAGCCTTTTATCCAAATGAGCTAAAACTTTCAAAATACGTTCTTTACAAAGCCTGCTGTAAGCTGGTTACAATAGCAAAGCGCTTCTTTAAAGTCTGTCACTCTGATTTTTCAAACGTTTGCGTTCTTGCCTAATAGTTGGTCAAGTGGACAGATAATGCCAGGATATAACTTTCAACTGCCGCAGTATAAGGCATTCACGTTTAAAGATTTTTCTTTCTTTGAATTATTTAATAAATCATCTAAAAAAGAATCTAGGACATGCAAGATGTGTTCCTTGACATTTGTGATTTTTTTTGGGGATTTTATTGCAAACTATGGATTTTTTAATGATTTTTTTTGTTTTGAGTAGGGTGTAATACCGCTAACCGTGGGTTTTGGCAGTGCTGTTTCTCCATCTTTTGAATATATACTTTTGACCCACCAACTGAGATTGCTACAGCAAATATCTGACAGATGAGATTCATCCCCAGATATTATCTTTTATCCCTAGTTTAACCCTTCCTGACCAAAGCTGTGGTTGTCTCCGGCTGGTCCAGAGGTGAAGCGTGGCGCTTTTTCCTCTGGCTGGGAAGGAGCAAGGGCTCAGCGGTCGCTCACCTCCGGCGGTCGCGATAGGCCGAGCGGAGAAAGAGGAGGATGAAGAGGAGCAGCACAGGGTGATGAAGAGGATGAGGGGAAGCAGCAGCAGGCATAGGCTGAAGAGCAGGAGAATAGGCTGGGAAGGAGCGTGGAGCCGGCGGTCGCTTGGTTCCCGCGGTCGCGACATACCAGGCGGTGCGAGCTGCGAGGACCGTCAATACCGCTCGCGGTTTTAATTTTTACTTATTTCTAGATGTTTTTTGCAGTGTGAAGATTTGTGTTTAACAGTCAAATGTAAAGATCATTAATATTTGTCATTTGAGATATTTTGTGCTTGATAGCTATATTTGGTTCGGCTTTGGTTCAAATAATGCTGCTAAACCAAAATTAAGATGTTATTTCCAATAAGTCATCTTCATTAGCTGTATAAACCGACAAGTAATCGAGTAAGTTTATTTTAAAAGAACTCTATGATGACTTATATTTAAGACATGAACTAGAGCTCACTTTAGTTGCAAGCTAAAGTGAAAGTTTTCAAGCCCACTGTGTAATAATGCACAGAAGAAACTTGTTTTTTGTTGTTTTTTGTTTTTTTCTTAGGAGTTAGTAGTGTCCTTCCTGCAGGGTATGGCTGCATCTTTTTGGTAAATTACTGGATCACTTATAGAGGTATAATCCAGCTAATGGACATAATAATAATACCTCAAGCTTGTAGTTGAGCGTCAGTATTTGAACCAAAGCCTTCCATAAGTTCACTGAAGGTAGAGCATGAGGAGTATCAGAAAAACCTACGGCTCCTGAAGTAGGTTTGGCTGTATGAAGAAAATCTAATATCACAATATATTTGGGACATAATCGCAACACACAATATATATTACAATATGTTTAAATTACCTTCAAAAACAATCGAGTGCATAAAATTGCACTGATATACTCATCCAAGCTTTTGGTTTCAAATTTAAAACATCTTATTTCCAGCTAAATGCTTTTCACTTTCGGTGTCAGTACCTTTAGCAAAATCCCAGCAACCAAACAGGATACAAAGCAAAAGCATGCAATACTAAATAAAACGCAAAATGAAAAAGGGCTCTTTGGTGCATAATTTAACAATAAATGGAGATTGAAAAAAGAAATTGACCTTAAAATCTCAAAAACAAAAGTGGAAACACCGTCCAAAAATTAGAGCATTATTAAAGCACCTCTAAAGTATTAGCATTGATCTTTACATCCTGGGAATTTTAAAGAAGCATAAAAAGTTGTAAAATTGCGAACATTACCAAGTTTAGAATACGCCTGCAAAACCTCTGAACAAGATCACATCACAGGCATCTAAAAACATTTAAATAACGTAATAAATAGCGTATGTGATTTCCCTCCATCCCTTCCTTTTTCTCTGATATTATAACAAACGAGGCCAACGCAATTGGTGTGCAGGGAGACGCTGACATGCAGAGTTTACAACATTCTTCATTTTGCAGCGAATTACTTTTTAGGTGTTGGAATAAATTTGTACTGCTACCTTTTGCAGCAATGTTTGTGCGGCACGTCTTACAATTTTACACCTTGTGTTTGACGTCCTTGGGGTGAAATCCAAACCACTGCCATATATTGTTTAGCTGAAACACCTGCTGTCGCCCTATTTCGTTTGCAGGTTGCTGTAGTGTAAGTGCGCAAAAAATAATCACGTTTGAAGGAGGGGATTATGACTCATTCAAAGTCAGGAAGAACATTTAAACTCTCAATGAAATAGATGAAGGAGGCTTAATGTCATCATGTGCAATTGTACTTGATGGTTTTTCATTTCAACTATCATGCGTGGGGAAATTCAAGATACATCGGGTATATTCGATATATCGCCCACCCCTACCCTGAAGGAGGGTTATGTTTAGCCCCGCCCTTGATGCTAAAACAGTGCCAGCTTGTAGTGACATAGGAACTATGCTGTGACACTGAAATCATGTCTTTGGATAAAAGAAAACATCGCTGCATCATAAAATGAGAGTATTAGCCATAAATTTTCCCCTTTTTCATTAGCAGTGTTTGATTTTTCAGCATTTATTTTTCCAGTGTTTTATTTTACAATGCCTAATCTCCTCGTCACTTCAGTCAGTTGTTGAACTCCATATCCATCTGGTTTAATTCTCTCTCTAGCTGCAATACATCTACTCAACACAAAGCCAGAATAATGTACATCAAAATATCTGCCTCAGTCCCTCTTTCCAAATAGTTTAATTGTTTTTCTCCATTCTTTCATTATTCTTGCACAGCTTGCATTTGTTTATTCGATAGGACATATCAGACTCTGTTCTTCTACTTTTACATTTTATCATTAAAGCAAATTCCTCATATGTGTAAAATACTGCATGCTTTTTTTGACTCAGATTCTGATCTGCAGTTTTCCACACTCTAAAGCTAAATCTAACCGTATGAACCATGCAAGGTGATTTAAAAGGCTGTAACTGAATAAAGCTGCAGTCAAGCATCGTATTCCTCATGTCAGATGTATACAGAGAACCCTAAAATTATAAAGAAGAACCATTTTTGAATTATGTTATTGATATATTGCTCTCCATGGACAACAGCAGAAAGGAAATAATAAAACCTAATGCCAGACAAAAGAATTTTCTTAACTGATATTATAATACTCACACTTCCCTGGCCTGGTCTGGCTGTTGACTCCCTGCCTGTACTAGCTGTGCATAAACTGAACTGTGTCCTTTTTAATGCTGGAGAGAAGTGTTTAGAGAGAGGGACAACATTTTACTATTACTATAGAGGATCTTTGTGACTAAAGGCTCAAATGCATCTCTGAAAAATCAGCATCTCTTCAAGTCCCAACATTACAATAAGTTCCAAAAGTGGCTATTTGGTTCATAAAGGACAAAAAATATAAAATAAAGTTTCTGAGAATTGGATTTCTTTCTCTTATACCTTCCTCTTTCTTGCCAAGTTAAAGGTGACTTACTGAATGAATTCTTGTTAGGATTATTTTTCCATCCATGAGTTTTTCTCTCTGTGTTCAGCCAGTGACGTGGTGCTGGGGGACGGTTTGGTCCTGCTCAGCTCGGTCCTGTATGCCATATCAAACCTGTGCCAGGAGCACACAGTGAAGAACCTGAGCAGAGTTGAGTTCCTGGGAATGATGGGGCTGTTCGGCACTCTGATCAGCGGCCTGCAGCTGTAAGTCGCTCATAGGAGCTCCAGTTTTAAGGTTTCGATTCCACCATGCTGCAGCCTCAAACCTCCACAGCTGTAATATCGATGCCTGTCTCTTTGTGTGATTGCAGAGCTGCTCTGGAAATCAATGCAGTTAAAGGAATACAATTGAACCTTTACATCAGTAAGTCTGCAGCTAATTAAGCACCATTTAATGATTCTTCTCTTCCTGGTTGTTAATGAACATCCATGCAATTTGCTCCTGCAGTCACGCTGTTTGGCATCTATACTTTGTGTATGTACGCGCTGTACAGCTTCATGCCTGTGGTGGTGAAGCTGACGAGTGCGACTGCGGTCAACCTGTCCCTGCTCACTGCGGACCTCTTCAGCCTCTTTTGTGGCCTTTTTCTCTTCAACTATAAGGTTAGATCCACTCACCTATATAACCTTATCTGTTTTTTGCTAATCACCTTTATAGCAACAGAGCTGGACAGTACTGACGGTTGGTTTGATGGTTTTCTGGCCGGGGATTGGCGGCCTAGTTGTTAGGACGTAGAGCTTGGAACCCTAAGATTGTGAGTTCGATCCCACTCCCACAGAATGCCACTCTGGGTCCCTGATAAACTGGTAACCCCCACACTCATTTCTCTGTAGTTGTGTCAGTGTAATGGAAATAAAAAAATTAAGAAAATATTTGAATTTTTTTTTTTTTTTTTTTTATACAGCTGGAGAGATTTAGATGTAAACATTTATCAGACCTCTCGGATAAACTCAGGTCCCAAATTCAAAGGTTAATTATCAGCTTGTTCAGGTCTTTAAACCACTTTTCTTTGATTTTATTATATTTATGTCCTTGAGTAAAAGATTCCCTGCATGTTCTGTCAGGTTATGTTAGGTTCAAAAATGTAGGTTCGTAAAAGAAGGACTGAGTTCACACAGAAAGGGATTCTCAACAGTTTCTGCAGAAGGGAAAAGAGCCAAACCCAACTTTCCAACACTCTCTCCCTCGGACCTCCTCTGCAGAGTGTTTTTATTAACAACATAACACATGGTTACAAAACAGAGTATTGTTCTGAAAGGACAATTGATCAGGTCATAAGACAGGATGCTCCACTGACTGAATCACAAGACAGAGTGAAGCATCTCATTTCTCCAATGTTTTATATGTACATACATTAATTTTATAATCATCACTGAATAAACCTAACAGGTTACCACCATTAACTTCAGTTCTTATTTTTCTGGGATTTAATTTGACGAAAAAGCACAAATTTAGGCAGAACTGAAATGAACGAAAACAATTTGGTTTCAACCAGAGCAGCTGAGGGTTTCATTGATTTAGTTTTATAAAGATTTAATTTAGGAAAAATTAAGATTATTTTTAGCCAATCCACACCTTCACAGCGCAGAGTGAAATCAGTTTTAGAGATTTTTGCTCTTAGGTGTGTGCTTAGAACAGATAAACTAGCTTACTATGTGAGACGACTAGCTGCAAACATTTAGTTTGATTTATTTCTATTGTTGGTTGGGAAATATGATTATCTTACAACTTGACTTATGTTCCCTTTTCACCTCCAAGAGGGGATGAGTGAAATAGAAGCTAGTTTGGGAAGTAACTTTGTCATTTTAATTTATAAAACTTGAATGAGGAACAAAAAATAGGTTAATCACATTTGGTTGGGGGAAAAATTTGATCATTTTTTAAATCCTATTTTCCAGGACTAGGTTTTAGATTAAAATCAAAACAGAAATAAACCCAATGACTGCAGTTTGCAAATATGTTCTACTCCTTTTAGTCCTTTACCCCTAAATAAAATCAATCCAATCAACCGACTGTCATTTATAAATAGAAGAAATATAAACTACTTTGTCGTCCTCCAAAATGGAAATCTATGAGCTTTTTATTTGTTTCTTCCTCAGTTTTCTGTTCTGTACATCATCTCGTTTTTCATCATTACGGTGGGCTTCATCATGTTCCACGCCATCCCGACGCCCTCCGCTCTACCGGACGTCTCTGAGGCGGCAGACCCTGCGGCTGAGCACGCCTCCGACCGGCTGCTGGCTGCAGACGGAGACGTTCAGGGACCTGAAACAGTGGTGGCCTTCACAGCTCTGTGACTTCATGTTTGTTTCTGAATCCAAGGCCGGTTATCAGAGTCATGTCATTGCAATAAGAAGAGTTCAGTCTCCTACTATTGTTACATTAGATATGAGATGATTTAATTTTTCTTTAGCTAACTTCTCCAATAAGGACAGATATTTATGTAAATATAAGGACACAGTGTGCACGTTTACAATCAGTTATGAGACATTTTGTAAAATCCTTTAGCTTTTTTTGTCTTCTCAGTCTGAATTCCTTATTATCTACACTGCTGTTCTAACCCTCTGAAATATGCCACTAGCAACATGAATATTAGGCTGAAGGTTACAAATATTACTGAAAAGCTCATTTTAGCAACCATTTAATAAAACCTTTTTCTTTTTTTACCTCGCTGATCCCTGCCCTCAAATTGTTCCGTCATGTGGCCGTTACCTCCTCTTGTTTGTACCATAAAAAAAACACATTTCAGAACCAGTGAACTGAAACTTTTGCCTCAGTTTATTTTGCTTTTTAGTTCCACATTTTGCTGAATAGTGGAGATGAACTGTTATGAATTGCTTACATTTTTTTTCCTTTGTGTTTGTTCTGAACTCCATCCAGACCAGTTAATCAGATTGAAATATAAGCGGTTCTGAACTCTGATCAAAACAGCCTCTGGCTGGTAGAGATTATTTACTGGAATCACTTTGTCAAGCTTTCCTTGTTTTGTTGCAGAGTGGCCTTAAAGGTGCTATTTGTTCAATTATACTTCTATTACAGTTATCATTGTGATTTTTTTATTATTGCATTGCTTTATGTTTGAAATAGAGAGTGTAGAATAAGAAAATTGTATTTATATCTTTGTTTGGGTGTAAAAAAAAAAATGCTTTGTTGCAAAGACGGCTACGTTTTAGACTGCAAAATGCCAAAGAAGAAAATACCCAATGTTTTGAGGTGTTGAAATTTGGCTGTTAAATGTTTTAAGCACCCGTGGTGATGGGATTTATTTATATTTTTTTTTAGGAATACATTGACATTAAAATGGCTTATATGGATGTCCAATGTTATTTCTGCTGTCGCAAATAACTGGTATTTACTGATATGATCATAAAGCCCCCCTACCAAGGATATCCAGGACCATAGGACAGAAATTAACATTGGTTATTTATATCAGTCCAGTTCTATGAATTGGACCAATAGCGAAATGTGATAAAATGACCAACAATGACGGATAACAAATTTTTTCCATTTAAATTGCTTTATAAGTGAGCACATCTACTGAAAAGAATTGTAAGCCTGAGCAGCACTTTCCTTTGTGGTGAGAATTGATAAGAAAAACATAAATGTTTTGTTTTCTTCAGTTTTTTTACCATGGATGGAGCCACATTAAAATGTTGAAAAACGGCCAAAATAAATTAGAAAAAGTGTCCTTTTGTTCAATCACTGCATCAGTTTCTTGCATAAAGTTTTCAAAATTGTAGAGTGTATATTTAATACAAAGTAAATATATGGGACTGGATTTAATAAAAAAAAAAATAATTAAAAATCCACTAAAAGTTTAACTGTCTTAATAGTTTTCCTTTTTTTTTTTTGTTGCTGCAGGTTTTATTCTATGATTTTGTTTTGTTTTTTTATTTACCAAAGATGCTATAGATGACTTTATGTTGTCAGAGGAACGTGTTACATTGCAGCCAGATGTTTTATCATTAAACTGACTTCATATATCTGTGTTGTTTCATTTTTCATATCTTTTAACCGATGGTATTAAATGTGGTGACATCCAGTGCTGAAGTTAGATATTTCTTTTTCTTTCTGTCCACTTTCAAACACACATCCATGCAGTGCAGAACTTGGAAGAACCTTCACCTATTGAGAAAACGTTTGTATGGTCTGTAATGACTTGAATACTAAACACAGCTGCATAAATAGCCAAGTAAATGAGGTAGAGAACATGCAGGGCTGGAGGAAGTTGGTTGTCTGTGTTCTGCAGTGTCTGGATGCAGCTTTTAGGAATAGGGCAACTCCATTTAGCATTTATCCAAGGTCTTTACCTGAGTTATTAACCTGGAAATTCTTAAAATCAGAAATGGATGTTTATAAATTTAATTAAAAAATCTTCTTTGATAAAACAGCAGCAACAGCCTCCATTTGTCGAAAGTCTTGAATTTATACATTTGTATTCTTGGTGCATTAGTTTACTAATAAATGCAAAGAAAATGGTTCAAATAATTCCTCATTAGATTATTTCTAAATGTAAAACTGGAGTCGTTCAACCTAACGTATAATAAAGGATTTCTAGGTGACAGTCACCGAGAAGCATGCAGAAATGGTGTAATGTTCATGCAGGATTAGGATTTTAAAGGTCCAATCGGTTTGACTAGTCCTGCAACAAGTGACTAGTTGGATACAAAAGAAGTCTACTTTCCATGCAGTCAATTTATGTAGATAATTAAAAAAAAATATTTATCTTGTATTATAAACCTGCTAATACATATACAATCCTTTTACTAACATTCCTGTATATTCTGTATAATCTGTGCATGTAGTTCCTATATTCATATTTATACGCAATGTTTTACAGTCCTTAACTAATACCTTTTGCTTGTACATACACCTGTAGTAATATGTATATCCTGTATAGCACTTCTGGAGAGATACAAACCACATTTCGTTGCTTTGTACTCGTGACAGTGCAATGACAATAAAGTTGAATTCTATTCTAAAAAGACAATGAGCTGAGGGATGTTAGAATAAAATGCTATAAGGGCTTGCCATACTCCAGTTGGTGGACGTCATCATGGAGGAGCAGCACAGACTGTAGCTGGGCAACACAACGCAGCACCTCCGCAGAATCATCCAGCTGCATCAAATCGTTTTATTTGGAAAGGTAAGAAAAAAATCATATTTCCGCTACAAGGCGTCCGCAGCCGATATTAAATTATTTGCGCCTTTCGGCTTCAACTGCGGATTATTTAGCGTCTGCGCTTTGCTAATCAGACAGGTAGGAATAATCGCTCGGTTTGCGGGATTACTCCTGCACGGAGGAGGATGCAGAACCTCTGAAAGGTTTGCTGATGCCTCTATGTGTTGTTATGTGGTTGCTGGAGAGGTTCTCCCGCACAGTTAAACCCCGCAGGGATCAGAGCTCGGTGCTGCAGCGGAGCGGAGCGCGGGTTAACCCGTCAGCACCACGGACAGCTCCGAGGTTTTTTAGCCTGAAAACAGAGAAAAACAGAATGACCAAAAGGAGAATCTATCCTCTGTACTCAGGTCATCACTGAAACGAACCAACACAGGAGACAGCTGAGGGGTCACAGCCGCCAAGATGAAGCATTTCCTCAGGTAAGAATCAAGATGGAGGCAACGCATCAAAACATGACGGAAATGAATGTTCACTCAAAGCATTCCCAGTTCTCCCATCTAAGATCTTCCCAGTTAGTGGTGTGTGTAACTGAGTGCTGAATGGGAGGCTCTTTATAATGAAGCACATGTTAACCAAGAGGCCTCCAGAGTCTTTTCTATTAAAAGCTCAGCATGTTCCTCATTTAGCTGTAAAAACCAGAGCTTTGATGCTCAGACAGACTGTACTCATTCAGCCGTGCCAGCGTTAGGGTGCAAAAATAAATGTTATTTATTTAAAAATTCAGGTTGAAAAAAAGATGGAAAAAATGACCTACTTAAAAAGTATATTTCTTTTATATTCATTATTGCAGTCTGAAGTGATATCAGCATTTCACATCACATTATCAGCCATACAGAGAGTAGAAATAAAATGTACTTCATTCATTACATTACAGTAATTTTCAAGTTTTTCCAAAATGTTCATCCCTCATCTCAGAAAGTGAAATATATATTATGATAGAATCATTAAGGGTAATGTGAAATATTTCACATTAAATATTTAAATATTTTTTTCTAATTCTGATGATTATAGATAGTGAAAACCTCAAATTTAGTGTCTCATAAAATACGAATGTTGTAGATACGTTTATTGTTGGAAGCTCATGCTGTCACATTTTAATTATCTAAGTAGCTCCAAATTGCTATAAAGTGTCCCTTTATCTATAAATTGTTCCAATTAGGGCTGCAACTAACTATTCGTTTGCAAATCGATTAATCTGTTAATTATTTTTTAATTAATTTAGTTAATAATCAGATAGCCAAAGGTTCCTTAAAGAACCCCTTTTACAAAATCAAACCAGGTAAAACTTTTCCACTTGATGAGTTTTGGATATAGCATATAGACACACAAAAAAGAGCTTTTATCTTAAATGCAAAATGTTAATTTTTTATTTTATTTACAATTTTAGTTTAATCACTGCTCTAAGTGGGTCGCTCTGTCAGATAAAAGCATGTTTAAGAGTCTCTATACTCCATTTAATGATCAATCAATTACTAAATTAGTTGACAATTATTTAAATAATCGATTAATCACGATTAATCCGATTAATTGTTTCAGCTCTAGTCTCAATCTGTGTCAGGCTACACAATCATGGAGAGGACTGGTTCATGAACACATGTCCAGAAGTAATAATAACATAACTGCTGTTGAAGAAGTCTAGTCAAGAAGTTAAGCTCATAACCTTTTTCAATTAAGATCGGATCATCTGCTTACGTAAGAGTTAAAATACAACCATAAGCCATGTATTCTGTCCTCATCAAGCATGTGGCGATAGGGGAAAGAAAATAATTTAATTTTGATTGGAAGGAAGGAACCTCCAGAGGAACCAGATTGAGCCTCAACAGGATCACAGCTAACCGGTCAGGAGTCTTTTGCTAGAGCGGAGGCTCATCACCGATTGCCATAATAAGTGGTGTCCAAATAGTACCGACCGTGTAGGCAAAGGAGTCCGTATGTTTTCTGTTATAGCTCCTTTAGCATTGGGATGTTCCTATCTGGCTCTAAGAACCTATTAGGTATGATAAGAGGCATAAGCACAGACCACCTTATGGAAATGTAGAAAAATAATTAACACATACTTTCTTAACGTGTTAAGTCATTGGGTAAGTCCCAATGACATCATCTCAACACCAATCACTATGCAGGGGACCAAAACTTCTTGCCTGGTCTGTCAGGCCAAACAATGACCCTAAAGTCTTCCTTTTCAGTGGCATGGGCCAGTTTTGGGAATTGCAGGCCCAAAATGACCTCAACGACTCCCCATTACTAAGGGTTGGACCTGTCTTTTCGGTTTAATTTGCATGTTTTCTAAGCCATAACAAGGCTTTTGTTTGTGTCACTCTATAAGCTTGGAACTCAACGCTACTCTAGACATTTTTAATTGAAAAAGCTTCCTGGATGGGAAGCAAAACTTCTTCAAACGTGGAAAACAAAGTTCAGTGGTTTACTTTTTTACTTTTTAAAGTATTTTGGAAGCTCACAGGATCACTGAGTCTGGAGCAACACCTCTATAATTTACTTTTTAGGAAGAGTCACAGTTGAACAAAAAGGTAATGAAGTAGATTTTATATCAATAACAGTTTATCCTATTTGTGACATGCACAAAAATCAAGATTTTAATAACTGATATAGCAGAACTGTGAGGAAAACCTTCTATATTTTTTTATTAGGAAGAACGTTTTTGTCACAAAAAAGAAAATTGGTTAAATAAGTTTATGTTTTTACGGCTGGTCTATTACTTATACACAGAGAAGGGTCACTTGCACCTTATTTATGTTCCTAGATATTCCATTCAAAAGCCGACACACATATAGACAAGGATGGGAAGTACAACTACTTCGTTACTGTACTCAAGTAGATTTTTCTGATATTTTTACTTTACTTTACTACTTATTTTTATGGTGATTTTTTACTTCTACTCCTTACATTTTTACACAAATATCTGTACTTTCTACTCCTTACATTTTAAAAAATTGGCTCGTTACTTTAGTTTTGAATCATTTCAATGGAGTTACCGTTATTATTTTTCACGTCATCAATACCAAATTCAATCTAATTGGATGGGAATCTACGTTGCATTTGACGCACTACTACAAGATGAATCCACAGATTCGGCGGTATTCATTCACGGCAAATCATTGCAGCTTGGTGGCGGTGGCGTTAGCATAGTAGCATGGACGACGAGATGATTGAAAATGAACACAACGGAGATCTAGTCCTATTGGCTGAAATCCATTTAAAATGTAGGCAACGGCATGAAAAAAGTGGTTTCTACTTTTACTTTTATATTTTAAGTAAATTTACAAGCCTGTACTTTGTTACTTTTACTTGAGTAAAGGAGTTTAATCAGTACTTCCACTTTTACCAGAGTATTTTTTAACACAAGTATCTGTACTTTTACTCAAGTACGGAAAGTGAGTACTTTTGCCATCTCTGCATATAGATGCTTCTGGAAAGGTCTAGTCTCAATTTTCTTGAAATTTGTCCAGTTGAGACAAAGAAACAAAATTTCTACAGGCTATAAAACCATCACAATATATTCTGTTTGCAACTGAAATCCTAAAAAATAAAGGTACAGAACCCAAATCTGTTATGTGGTAAACAAAAGATTGATAATCATCTAAATGTGCATTCATTTTTTTCAAACTATATTTTTCCTATTAAAAATGTTACAAAAATAACGCCTGGAAGCTTCAAACTGATATGGTTTAGTCAAATTCCAGGTTTTTCCAGGAAAATAAAAAACTGCATTTAACAACCATTAATGATTATTTCTTATTTTTCAGTTTTTCTTCTTTTCTTCTCTGCAGAGTGGTCACCCAGTTCTTTGCGTTCCTTTACTGTAAATGTCTGTGGCGGGGCCTAAAGTTTGTTGCCAGGAAGTTCACAGGCCGCTGTGAGCTGCAGCGAATCTGCTACAACAACAAGCCGGGAGCTCGCAGGACCCTGAAGATAGGTAAGCTAGCGTCGGACCCACAACCTGCCTGACACTTTAACTCTGGACAGTGTACACATACAAAGATACACATCTATAGTGCAGGGCTTCTGCCATGTGTGGAACCATCTCTATTTCATATATGTTTAACCAAACAGTCAATTATGAATGCTTAGTCCAGCAGCTTAAGAGAAAAGCTTGAATATTTAAGAACAATAATCTGTTTTTGTAGTTAAAAATGAGATTATTTGTCTCAGTGACGCTCTGAAAAATGTATTCAGTTCATTGAACAAATCTTCATATTAGACGGAGAGGACCTGGGTCAACTGGCACGTTTTGAAATGGTTAAGAAAAAAAAAATATACTACTAATCAACCAGATCCTTTGGTGAAAAACAGCACCAGCGGCTCATTGTTAGAAAGTAGTCTGACAGGAAAGGGGTGTAAGACAGGGGGAGAGACATGCAGCAAAGGACCACAGGCCGGATTGAACCCGGATCGGCCACGATGAGGACTAGTGCCTCTGTACATGGGCTGTGTGTGCTAACCACTGCACTACAGAAGCATGCTCCGATCAACATTTTTTAGTAAATCAAGAATTTGCTTATATTTTCAAAAGTTTAATTCAGTTTCTCAAAGCATACACTGACCTGTTAAATTTCAGGCATGTAGAACTGCATAAATAGAACCTGTCTGAAAACATGAAGTAGGATAATGGGTCTCAAATCTTGACTGGATGGATGCAATATAAAAATTTTAAGGTTAAAGAGCCCTGTGTGACCTACTTGAAATCCTCATAGATCTCCCACACGACTCATCTGGGAAGTCACAGACACATGTAGATACTGCCTCAGTTGATTTAAGAGGTCATGATTCAGAAACAGGAAAGAAAGACTGGGCAACAATGGCCTCTTTGAAAGGGGTAAATAACTAGAACGACTACTGACACAAAAGAACACAAACATCCTTCTTCTGTTTAACAGATAACTTCTTGTTTCTCCTATGGAATTTGGGGAAGTATTGTATGGATGTATGAGACAAAATAGGAACTTTATGGAAGGAACAGATAATAGCTGCAGTAAGTCATGGTGGTTGTATGAAGGTCTGGATCTACTTTACTGTTTTACCTCAAGCTCAGTAACTTGGTAAAAAAATCTGGTAACATTTCAACAAGTCCACCTTTGAGCAGCTAACAAAAACATTTAGCTGACTGGGATTGACCTAGTCAAAGTCCAGACAGCGCATATAAGAATTCCCTGGCACCACTTTTAACAGGTTGGTATGCTACAAAAACACTCCAATGTGTCTCAGTAAATAAAACTAGAGAAGTAGAGAGGGTCTAAATTCCTCCTCAGTGATGATAGTCAGAAACACTTCATGGCCGCTCCTGTAACCAGTTACTAGGGTTAAGGGAAGATAAAGTCAAAGTTATTTTTTTTTTTTGCATCATTCTAACACTTTGCAATATTTTCCTTTCAGAGTCGTCCATGCGTTACTCCAAGTATGAGGTATGAGTCTTCATTAATAGATGGGAGTACAGTATTTTATTTATTTTCCTAACTCTGTCATTTAATCTGTTATTTTTATACACTTTTTAAAATCCACATTTGTGTGACTAATTTTACTTTTATTGCTGTAACACCACAGTTTCCCTATTGGGGGACAATAAAGAGATTTTCCTTTCTATTTTATTTTGATTCTAATCTCTGAAATGAATAAATTTACTTTTTTCCTTTCCTTGTCCACCCCAGCTGCTGCAATCGGCCCTTAGTGCCCACCCTGACAAAGTGGAGAAGACCATCGATGACATCATGGCCTTAAAGAAGATCAACCCAGACACCAATCCACAGTAGAACTCCTCACTGCCGCATTCATGTCACCTTTTAACCTTCGAATCATTTTAGTTTGAATGTTGTGTTAAACTGACGTTAGTAGGGGACGATCAGTTTGGCCACTGCAGATGAAGTCCTTCTCACTGCCTTTCTCTGTGTTTCTCCAGGCTGGGCATCTCTCTGCAGGCCAGTCTGTTGCAGATTGTGGGCTACAGGAGTCTGATTGTGGAGGTGGAGAAGCTTCGCAGGGAACCTTATGACTGTGAAAACGCTGAGCATGAAAACATGCTGATGAAGGTTCAGTAACCTGTCAATTATTAACAAAATTATTTCCATTTTGTCTTTTACTAATCCCTGATTTATAAGAGAATGGGGTTGTCTTTGAGTTCTTCAAGTTCAAAAGTTCATGCAAACACTAGGATTAACGAGCCGATAAACGATTTCAAAAAAAGCTAAAATAGTGATTTCATGGAAGAAACATGGCTGAAGATTCTGTTTGAGCAACAACTTAAATATCCTTCTTCCTTGTTTGACATCATAGAAAATCAAAATGAAAAAATAGAGGGAATCATAGCTCTCTATCAGTCGGTTTCAACTAAGTAAGTCTAGTTTTCAGAGGTTCAAAGAGTTTATGCAACAATGTTTTATCCATTATACGGTTAAGGAAGGAGAGGAGTTCTGGAGTTCTATATTAAAGAGATTTTATCCATAATCCTGACCTTTAACCCTATTTACCAGTTTTCCGTTGCAGTTCTCTGAGAGTTGAGGTTAAATCAGACCGAAAGCGGTCACCTGCTATAAGCTGTCCTCTGTGTGTGTCTGTTTGCTGCAGCTATGGAAGGAGCTGCGTCCTGACACCCCCCTCACTGCCCGCATCTCCAAACAGTGGTGTGAAATCGGTTTCCAAGGCAACGATCCTAAGACTGATTTCCGAGGGATGGGACTGCTGGGCCTGCAGAACTTGCTGTAAGCTCAGAACCTGAAAACGTCAAAAGAACCCATTTCTCTTTCACTTGAAACAGAAAACCTGCAAACTCATCCTTTACTTTTTCAGCTGGCCAGTAGAGCTTTAATACTTGATTTGCTAATTTAAATTTGATCTCTCTGCAGGTACTTTGCAGAACATGACAAGGCTACTGCTCTGCAGATGCTCCAGGATTCACTACAACCAAAGCACAAGTATGTTGGTGTAAAGTTGAACTGAGCAAATGGAAGGGAATCTGTTATGTGTTTAGGTGGAATTACAAATGTAAGATCAGACAAGCATTTCAATTAGCTTATCAGTCAACTAAAACTTCAATTATAAAGCACAATAACTTGTCATAAGGCAACTAAAATGTTGTTTTGGCTGTTTTTTGCACCATGTCCTGCTAATTTGACCCACAGTGTCACTAACGTGTGATGCAAAATTTTGACCAACTCTCATTTTCAGAAATGTTTGAATTCAGCCATATTTACGGGTGTATTTTTAGTAAATTTAGTAAACAACATTTCACTTACAGAAAAAGTGATCAAGAGTTATTGTTTGCATCTTGCTTTAACATCTAATATTACATCTTATAGTGCAGCTAAGCTAACTGTGTTGTCCTGGTCTCTAAGTGTATTTCTTTACTTTCTAAAACTCTGAGCTTGTGTATCTCCTGTGCTTCTACCACCTCTCTCCTCCATTCCTTTGCCTGATTAGCTTCACCCTTCCAGCTCCATGTCATTCACTGCCTCACTATTTTCTGACTGCTGCTGCTCGCTTTGTTTGGCATCTGCATATCAGTGAGTTTGTCTCATTTCTCAAATGAAGATTCTTCTGTTGTATTCTTTTGCACTTCACTGTCATCACTGCCGCTCCCTTACTTTCTGTCCATCCTGTGCACTGTAGGAGCACTCACAGAACGCCCAGGTACTAACCTCCACTTTCATTCACTTGCTCTCTTTTTGCATTCATAAACTTTTCATTGATACATTTTGGAAAAATAAGCTCTTAAAGGTTTTATTGCAGTTTAACTTAAATCTTTGGGTTACTGTGATTAGAAAACAAAAAAACAAGCACTTCCATTGGTATTCAGTACATTTTGATGTTTTCTGATTTGCTCCTTGTCTCTGATTATTTATTATTTTTATGACTTTATCCGTTTTAGTTCCATTTGATCACCTGCTACAGTTTTTACTGAAGACTCAGTATGAGATTATTTTAAACATGCAAAACGCTGGCTATGTCTGCTGGACGCTCTCAGTGTCGTGTCATACGTTGATGTTCCGAGACTCACCTTTGTTTCCTTCACAGTGAACTGAACAAGCCAGACTGGGAGCAGAAGAATCATGACAAAGCAATCGGGTAAGTGATTAAAAAGCAGCTTTTACATGTGAGCATGTTTTACTCAATATCTAGAGCAGGGGTCACCAACCTTTTTAAGGCTGAGGGCCACTTCAAGGGTACCGAGACGTAGGAAGGGCGACTATTACTGACAAATGAGCTGCAACGGTTAGCGTTAGCCTAAACTTTGTTCATTATCAACATATTTTTATTGTTTCTGTTAATTTCTAAGTTTATTTAGACATTGTCATTTTGAAATCTCTATAAATGATTGAAAAGAAGAGCAACAGAATAAAATGAAATTACAAACTTATCCCACTGGTGGGTTGTTCTTTATTTAGAAGACTCTGAGGGCCCCCCCATGTGGTCCTTGAGGGCACCTTGGTGCCCACGGGCACCGCGTTGGTGACCCCTGATCTAGGGCAGCAGAAGTCCAGCCTGAACACATGTTGTTTGTGTTCAGACTGCAAAAAGTTGGTAATCAAAACATGAGACACAGGGTAAAAAAAAAATATGCTTCTGTGAGCTTCTGTAAGCTGAGACCAGCAGTAAATATAATAAACAATAATCACCATGTGTGTTTCTGTCTTTGTCTCTGTAAAGTGTCTTAACATATGTTGTGAATTAGTGCTATATAAATAAACTGAATTGAATTGAAAAATTTGTGGTAAAACCAACCTAACAGACCCTCCACACCCTCCAGATATTCTTTTGCCATCGTGGGCATCAACATCACAGACCTGGCCTACTCTCTGCTTGTGAGCGGAGCTCTGAAGACCCACCTGTACAACGTGGCCCCAGAGATGCCCAACCTGCAGCACTTCCAGCAGACCTTCTGTGAGTACAGCCTGTCGGCTCATTCAGCACACGGTTCCTGAAAGGTCAGACCCGTTTTATTTTTTTATTTTTTTTATTGTAACAATCACTTATTTTAAAAAAAAAGAATTAAAGTTGCTTGAAAAAATAATTCAATTTTAGCCTGTGAGAATCAAGCAGAAATAGAAAAAATGTTGTTTGTTTCATTGATACAAAAGTCAAATTTTCTGCCAATAATTTATTTGACATTTTGCTGAAGGAAATTAAAAAATTAACTTACTAAGTTATTATACTAAACATTAAAGTGTAGTTGGTGGAAAGACAAGCAGCAGTCTTTTTTCCATTAAATAATTAGTAAGCAGGAAAATATAACTTTAAAAGCCTTTGAGGGAAATTGATCCCACTATGAAACCACCTTTAGGAATACAGAAATATCTGTGTTTAATTAGGCAGTTTATTTTTAATGCAAAGTAAATGAATGAATTACCCTCACCAGCTTCCAATGGAAAACATTCATTAGAACGACAATAAAAAGTTTAGCTCTTGTGTAAAAAAAACTAGAGATTCTTTTAATTCTTAAAATAAAGTTGTTTTTTTAATGTTACATAAGTTATTACAAAACAGAACAACCTCAAATACTATTATAAGGACAGTAGGGGGTGATCGTACTTTTCTGTGATGAGATAACAAAAACTCTGATCGCAATGCTCCCAATGCTCAGCAAATCCCAAGCAAATCCGAAAATCCCATCACAACACTTGTAATATGTGTCTCAGTCCCCTTCAGTGTCCACCACATTGGATAAGTCCATTTGCTGCGCATGTGCAGAAAGGTCCAAACAGACAGCAGCAAACCATTGAAAACAATGCGAAGAGCGGTGGTGCCAACTTAGCGCTTTTGTCGCTATATTAAGAGACATTTCAGACCCCTCTAGCACTTACATTTTAAAAAAGCGGCTATTGCTAAATCTAGCGACTTTTTTCTGCTACTTGAGACTTTGGCGACAACATCCAAAAGCAGCGAACTCTGCTCTCCAGAGCAAGTAGATTGGTAACCCCGCCTCCTGCTCTCCTCTATGTCTGCTGTCGTCATTCATGCAGCTATTATTTCATCCAAATGAAAAATGGAGAACAGATAAGCAGATCATGGCTTGTCTACAGTCAAAAGAAGGACTGGGTTATTTACTTTTGCCGTCGCCTTTTTGGAAACACAGGAAGGAGCAATTAAGCAAGTAGTGATTGAAAAAATGTTTAATTTCTTTTGAGACAGCATGAAAAGTCAGCTAAGTACAAAACATAGAGATAAAAACAACGAGAAAAGGGACAAGAAGAGAAAAACGTCGAACAAATAATATATGTCTATTCTATTAAAATTTCTGTATAATGGGTCTGTCTTATGTGTTGTCTTCTCCATTCAGAGGGCCCCATGCCTGTCTTTGCCTAGGGCCCCAAATTACCTAAATCCGCCCCTGACGTCAGAGTGAACCAAGGCCAAAAACAACAAACAAAAGGAACTGTCTCAAGCATCAACATTTACTTATGAAAATAAATCAAACCAAATGACAAAAACTTACCTCCCTAACTAAATAAACAGGAGAAAACCATAACGCAACATAAACAACGATTACCTCACTTTAATTATACATGGCATTTCAGAACATACAAGGTCCAGCAATGTGGCTGTTTGTGTCATGATTGGTTTTATATCAAACCCACATGCAGAACACAACGGAGGCTGGGTAAAAGTTTAACAGAGTTTATTTAAGATATTGACACACAAAAAAACATGAACTGGATCTGGAACAGGTTGGGTTCACTGAAGTCTGCAGAGATGATAGGCCTTGGAAAAACGGTCGACGATGGTTAAAATGGTGGACATACCTCTGGAAATCGGGAGACCTGTAACAAAATCTACGGCGATATGTGACCAAGGAATCGGGCTTGACGTTCTTGGAACCAGGTCTGTAAGAGATAATGAGGTTGAAACGGGAAAAGAATAATGACCATCTAGAGTGACGTGGATTGGATCGTTTTGCCGATTGGAGATAAGCCAGGTTTTTGTGGTCTGTCCAGACCAATACTGGATGCTCGGCCAGCCTCGAGCCAGTGTCTCCATTCCTCCAGGGCGAGTTTAATGGCAAGAAGTTCTCGGTCTCCAACATCATAATTTTGCTCCGCTGGTGAGAGTCTACGTGAAAAAAAGCACAGGGGTGAGTCTTTTGGTCTGAGTCAGATTGCTGAGATAAAACAGCTCCAACACCGGAGTCAGATGCGTCCACCTCTAAGATAAACTGCTTAGAGGGATCTGGCTGGATAAGGATGGGTGCTCTGGAAAACAGGTTTTTTAATTTATCAAAAGCGTTCTGGGCTTCAGGTGTCCATTGAAAGGTCTTCTTCACAGAAGTCAGAGTTGTGAGAGGTAGAGCTGTTTGACTATAATTTCTTATGAAGCGTCTGTAAAAGTTTGCAAACCCAAGAAATCTCTGAAGCTGTTTGCGGTTTTCAGGTGTCGGCCAGTCCAGAACTGCCTTTATCTTGTCTTCGGATGGCTTCACCTCGAGCACAAACCCTAAAAAAGTGACAGATGGTTGGTGAAATTCACATTTTTCTGCTTTCACAAAGAGTTTGTTTTCCAAAAGTCTCTGAAGAACTAGACGAACATGTTTCTTGTGGTCTGAGAGGTTCTTGGAGTAGATCAAAATATCGTCGATGTACACAAAAACGAATACGTTCCAAAAATCTCTGACGGCGTTGACTAGAGCTTGAAAACAAGCAGGAGCGTTTGTGAGACCAAAAGGCATGACCAAATACTCAAATTGCCCTAAGGGGGTCTTAGAGGCTGTCTTCCATTCGTCTCCTTCTCTTATTCTAAGGAGGTGATATGCGTTTCTCAAATTGCACTGTTGCACAGGTTCAAACGCTGATGCCAATAATGGTAGGGGGTACTTATTCTTGACGGTTATCTGGTTAAGGCCTCTGTAATCTATACAGGGTCGTAGGGAACCATCTTTTTTACCCACAAAAAAGAAACCAGCACCAAGAGGAGATGAAGATGGACGAATAATTCCAGCAGCTAGAGACTCATTGATATATTTTTCCATGGTCTCGCGTTCAGGTTTGGAGATGTTGTAAAGTCTACTGCTGGGAAGGGGGGCTCCTGGTAGTAAATCTATGGCGCATTCATATGGTCTGTGAGGTGGAAGAGACGTCGCACTGACCTTACTGAAGACTGGTGCCAGATCATGATACTCGGAAGGAACAGAAGTAAGGTCAGGAGAGTCCATCTCCCCCCTACCTCTAGGGGACTGAATAGCAGGAGCCGCAGAACGAAGGCATGACTCGTGACAGGAAGTGGACCAAGACTCAATGTGGCGTTCAGCCCAGTTGATATGGGGGTTATGACGTTCCAGCCACTCGAATCCCAGCACCAGAGGGGAGCATGCAGAAGGAAAAACAAAAAACGTTAATGTTTCACGATGGTTTCCAGAGATTAAAAGTTCTAGAGGTTGTGTCTGATGAGTGACTTGATGAAGCTTCTTTCCATCAATAGCAGATACTCTGAGAGGCTTAGATAAAGGGACAGTCTCAATATTTAATTGCTGGACCAGATCTAAATCAATGAGATTTCTTTCACACCCAGAGTCAATGAAAGCCGACAAGGTGAGATTCTGGTTGGAGAAAAAAAGAGTAGCAGGCAACATCAGATGAGGATTTTCAGTTTTCAGATGGCCCATCAGACTCCTCAATTCCTCTGACGGGCCCTGGCTTTTGACTTAGCCGGACATGAAGCAATGAAATTGCCAGTCTCACCACAGTACAGACACAGATTGCCCCTAAATCTTCGTTGTCTTTCCTCAGGGGATAGCCTAGTGTGTCCAATCTGCATGGGTTCGACCTCCGCTCCATCTGAGTGAGAGACTTGGACAGGCACAGAAAGAGTCTGGTTTTTAGACTTTGGCTTGGAACTGGGTTCTGCGGGTCCAGAAAAAACAGAAGCATTGTTAAATGCAGGAGCTGACACAGAAAAATTTAGACTTCTTTGTCTAGAGTTATTTCTAGTTCGGAGTCTGTTATCCAGTCAGATGGTTAAACGGATTAAGTCCTCCAAACTAGCTGGTTCGTCGATCGTGGCTAGTTCGTCTTTGATGTTATCATTTAAAGCCTTAAAATAAGCATTCGTTCCAACCTGAAGCTGCGGCTTTAACCCGGAAGTCAATGGAGAACCTAGCCACTGTAGAATTTCCCTGTATTAAATTTAGCAGGGCTCGGGAATCAATTGTTTTATCTGAGTCGTGGTTAAATACTTGGGAAAACTCAGATATGAACTCGGAAAAAGTACAAGAAAAACTGGACTCTGAAGAGAACCTTGCCTCCGCCCATTCAAGAGCTCGTCCAGTGAGTTGAGAGAGAATGAAGGATATTTTTTTTCTATCATTCGGATACCTGCCGGGAGAGTGCTCAAAAAGTAAACGACATTGAAACAAAAATCCCTTACAATCCTTTTGGTTACCTGAAAATCTTTCAGGCGGACTAGGACGGAACTCAGGAAATGACGTCACTGCCGGTGACCTTAGAGGCGGAAGTGGATCCGGAACAGGACGTACTGCTGGCGTGGCATTAGCATTTCCCATGTAGCTGGCATACGTTTGTAGCATTTGGTTCTGATGTTCAACTTTAGTGTGTAACTCACGGAGGGTATGCGCATGTCCAAGGATCTGAGCGTCCTGTTCCTCAAGCCTCCTACGGAGGTGATCTGCTGGGCTTTGTGTTTGGCCGCAGTGTTCTGTCATGATTGGTTTTATATCAAACCCACATGCAGAACACAACGGAGGCTGGGTAAAAGTTTAACAGAGTTTATTTAAGATATTGACACACAAAAAAACATGAACTGGATCTGGAACAGGTCCGGGTTGGGTTCACTGAAGTCTGCAGAGATGATTGTTTGATTAGCTGGGCAGGCAGATGATTAATGAGTCCTTTTAGATAATTCTGATTCTACCTTGACGGGGTCCAGGCTTCTCTTGTGAGAGAGGGAACCGTTGGGTCCAGTGACTGTTGGTTCAGCAGAGTACACAAGCAGCTGCAGCGTCTAGCTTCTGACTTTGAATGGCAGACCTTGATCAGAGTTTCCAGCTCTTCACAGAGAGCAGCAGGGGAAATCCAAATAGGAATCTTCAGGTTTGGCTCACCTGGGCTGGAAGGCAGGTTAAGCTCACCCAGAGCTTCAGGCTTGAGACAGGTTTCCTGTGAGCAAAGACAGAGGAAGGTTAGAACCAGTTTTCTCACTTAGAGACAACTTAGATTCTTTCAGGTAACAGAGGCTCAGGTTGCTAACCAAACTAAGGTCAACACTGGGGCGTTGAAGGAAGGTCTGGCAGCTGCTTAAGAAGGGAAGGTCTCCTGATGAATAGATGCGTCTCAGGTGTGCTGGAGGGCTCCAGCCCAGGAGACCCACGGCGCACTCTGCTGGAGGAAGGTGATACATCCCCAGATCCCAACAGTTTGGGACATGCAAAGAAGAGAGATGACAATCTGTGTGCAACATCGTCTTTTATATACGTCTTGGTCCAACAATCTGCTTTCTCTTTCTGTCGGCACCTGAAAACTCATATTTACATTAAGACAATAGCTTATGGTTAAATTCGTAACACATTTTACTGATGACTCTTTTGACACATTTTTGTTACATTATGTCTAGAAAATTTCTCATAGTTAAAAACAGTTTCATTGTCTTTCTTAAGGTTAAAGTTTAACTGAGATTTTAGTAAATAATCACAACATGAATCAGTTTTGGAAAAGTATAACCCAGTGAGCAACAAATGTGGTTTTAGCACATGTACATTTATGTGTGGATCTGTTTATCTACTGAGAACAGCAGTGATAGTTGACGCTTCCTATTGTAGGTTACCTAATGCAGGAATTCCACCGCTTCTGGATCGAGGAGGATCCCAGCGACATCATGGAGTTCAACCGGGTCCGCACCAAGTTCCACCGGAGGATCCTGCGGCAGCTGAAGAACCCGGATATGGCTTTGTGCCCCCACTTCGCCGCCTCTGACCTCCACCTGGTCAACCTGTAATATCTACCAACTCAAAACCCTCCCAGAAGATCTTCAACAGGTGTTCGGTAGGCCGGTGAAAAAAAATAAAAATCCCACTCACGCAGATGTTTCTCTGAACTGCTGGAGATACCTGAGGAGAAGATCCTCCTCCTCTCCTCAGCACAAGTCGTCCTAGCTCACGTCATGTTGCTTCACTGCCAACAGCTCACAATACACACAGTTAACCCATCCTGCACCTGATCCTTCCCCATGCCGTCACCATGCTGGACAGGGGGGATTCAGGCCACATGAAAAACACGCAGGAACAAAAAAAAAAAACATATGATCTCACTTGGTCAGTGCTGACATAAACAACAATTCAATTCAATTCAGTTTATTTCTATAGCGCCAATTCACAACACGTCATCTCAAGGCACTTTACGATTCACCAGATCATACAGTCAAATTGATTCAAAGTTTTCAATCTAAGGAAAACCAGCTGATTGCATCGACTCATTGACTCGAAGGCAATCCCTCACACCAGCGACAGTGGAGAGGAAAAACTCCCTTTTAACAGGAAAACCTCCAGCAGAACCAGGCTCAGAGTGAGCGGCCATCTGCTGAGGCTTACTGGGTTCAAGGAAGCAATTAATGATCAATTAACCATATTAACTGACATTTATTCTAAGAATAACATGTTACAACCCCTCCCCCCCCGCCCCAGTTTTTTTCACATAAACTCGAAAAAACGAGAAGAGAATTTGACCTGAATCACGAATGCCTAAACAGTAAATTGTGAAAAGATCAATTTTAACAAAATATTAATGCGAAAACCGAAACAACCTTAAAAAAAACATTAAAGAAGGCCTCATTTAGGCAAGAATTAATATTAAGCCTACACTTAGTCCAGGTTTAGACGCATATTTAGACAAGCTGTTTCATCTAAAAGGGTTTTAAAACTGGACCTTTAGTTAAAAATACATCAGATGAAGGGAGCATAAATTAATACTTCAAGATATCTTCCTTTTTAACACAAACTTGCTTCTCCCTTTTTTGTCTAATTGCTGAAATAAAATCAAGGTGCAACCTCTTTTTTTGTTTGTGGAGCCAAACAGTGAGAATCCAGATAATGATTTGATAAATTTACCAAAATAATGGATGGTTCAGCACACATTTTAATCATTGGTGTTTTTAAGTATTCAAGATATGCACGCTGTGTGCAAATAAAGAGAATTCCTTTAAAAGTAAAACATATCGGTTCTTCTGCACAATGTGTAATTTCCCACAAAAACCATCGTCATACAGCTGCTCTGAGACCTGATTCATCTAACGTACAGACAGAACATTTCTGGGGCAAACAATGACAAGAGATTATTTTATAATTATAAAACAAAAACATTTTTTAAAATCCAACCGATGCTTCGATGCCAATCATCACAGATGCACATCCCCTGTGAGCAATCCTGTTAAGAATATGTCAATAAAAGACAATTTCTAATTAAGGGTTAGGGTTAGAAAAACTTGAACATTAGCAGGTCAATAGGTGAACATTTATTTATTTGTTTTTATTCCACATATTCGTGGTGCATAGATGGTGACCTGTGTTTGTAAAATTCAGCACAAAAACCTCATTAGCACCAAGCAACAGTCTTACCAATAAGTCCGACTGTTTACTAAGTTCTGGTGTTCTGTGTCACTGCATGTTTTTTTTGTTGCTGCCGCAGCCTTATAGACAACGAGGAATTAAAGTCTTTCTCATCCTGAGAGTTGTTCAGTCGGCGTTCTAGATGAACTGGGTCACAGAGAAGCTGCTGCTGTACAGTAGGATTGAGGTTTTTGTGGCAAATCACGTCCTGTTGAGTAAAATTCATTTGTTTACATCGATAAAAACAAACTGAACTTTGTCTGAAGATTTTCATAAGGTTTTTTTACTCATTGGCACAAAACCTGTACAGCAGGTTAAATGATGAATGAACTGAGATTACAATGATTACAATGAATGAGCCATTCATCAGTTTAGCATGTTAATAAAATATGTCACAATATCTTGCAGGATTCTTCAAATTTATACATTTTAGCAATTTTTATTCTGATATCCAAACTTAAAGGATGAAATTAACTGAGTTAACTGAGTCAAAACAAATAAAGTTGTTTGATAAAAAAAACAAAAAACATTTTATCCTCTAGGATATTTTTACATTCCTCATAATTGCTCTTAATCTCAGCTTAGATCACTTTTTGACCATGCAGTCTCTCTTGGTCTGAGCCTAGATGAAAAACATGGCGTTAAAACGGGTCTATGTAGACTTGACTTTGACTCGCATCTAAACTAGATCTGCATTTAATCTTCTCATTAAAATTTAGGTGTGTTGCTCATTGGGTAAAAACCCAATTTAGTAAATAGTCCGGTCAAACAAGCTTTATTTTTTGCGATTTAAAAAGTATTTTTCCAAATAAATTCAAACTGAATAGAATTTCATTAATAATAATTACCCTGCAATTTGTTATAATCACAATATATCAAAATATATAATGAAATAAGAGGGTGTGCTCATCTAGGGAAGGGTTTGGTCTCTAGTTAAAACACATCTTCCAATGACTTTTTAATTTTAGACATCTAATAAATGTGTAAAATCACATTAAAGGACTTTAAATTTATGATCAAATAAATGCAGATTTATTTCAACAAAAGAAAAAAATAAAGAAGCTGGAAAAGCAGATGTGATTGTCTTATTTTCAAGAATTTACTCAAGACAATAAGTTAACGGAGCTTTTATCCTTTGCAAGTATTTACAAACTTTTTCAAAGTCTTAATTCCTCTACCTGAACCCGGTTTTCATGCGGACGAGGATTGCAAACCCAGCGCATAATGAAGGTGTCTGTTAATACAGATATGACCCTAAATCGAAACCACGTGTTGATCCTGTCGGTGAATTTTTCTCATACGCCAGTTTTTACAGCCACAGACGGATCAAATTAGATCTATGTAACCCGGTTCATACACTGCCTCCTACCTGCAGCTTCGGACCACCAGCAGCGAATGCCACCATAGTGTTTGTGAGGCTGCATCACATCCTTACCCTCCGTTGTTGCTTTAAAAAAGAATGGTGATGATTGTATCTCAGCCGTTTGACCTCCACTAAGAACATATTTCTGATTTTATTATTGAACCAAATTTAATTTCTCAGCCATAACCATCTTTAAGATGATTAACCTACTGCTCACCTGTTAGGAACATGTTGACAGTTAGAGTTTTTTTATTCAGACAATATAGATATTTATGAAGTATTTAGATTACTAGTAGTTATAATGATTTAACAAGCTGCTTCACATCTGATATTTGTCTGTATTAATAAAACTGCCATAGATTGTTCTGTGCACACTTGGACACTGGAATATTCTTGCCAAAAACACTCAGCAGCAGGTAGTTTGTAGCTTGATATCTACTAAAAAAAGAGCTAAGTGGTGTTTTATTATTTCAGTATGAAAGTTTGAGGCTCGTTTTCTTGTACTAAGCATCTCAACCGCTTTTTTCTCCATCGATACACAAAAAAAACAACTGTGTTTGCACATTTTTCTAATTTGCAAGATTATTAAAGGTTTTGTTATGAATGTTTTTCACCTGCAAACATCCATGATTGTTTAAATCGATTTCATTTCCTGAATGTGACACTGTGTTTACTGTTGTTATAAGCCAAAGCAATAATTTACATTCATTTCGCTGCATATTTATTTGAATGCACCAGGCGTGCCTAATTATGTTGCTCTCTGGGTTAGAGCTAACGAAGATCCGTCAAACAACACATAAGCTGCACAGCTCCCAGTCGTTCCAAGATTAATCCACAAACCTTTGATTGTTGATCTCACTAGTTTACCAGTAGGCGTGCAGCTTTAAAATATATTTACTAATGTTAAGAAGACTGAAAATATATTAAAGTTGATTACTATTTATTAAATCAGAATTTACATTGAGTGAATTACAGGGTTATGGATATAAATGTTATAAAATTTCACACAAAACTTTAAAAAGGTTCAGTTTTGACTTTGTTTTTATCAAAGGAAATGAACCCTGACAGTATGATTAATTCGAGTAATAAGCTGTCTGTATATTACCTGCAGTAACTAACTAAAAGGGATCCATGTTTCGCTGTACTCTTCTGTATAAAAAAAAAAAAAAAAAAAAAAGGTTTCTCAAAATAAAGCTATTTAAATGCTAAAAATTCCAAAAACCTTTCAGAAATTCTAAATGGAATATCGAATTCCTGATACTTTCATTATTCGGTGTTAAAATCAAATAACCAAAGATGTTTCCACTCGCTTTGGTTTTTTTTTTTTACTAGTTTAATTAGCTGTGCCTATTAAAAACAAGTGGATTTTTTTTATTGTGAACCTTCAGATCTGCAAATTGTGGTCGACAGTCTCCCCATTTAAAATGTAGAATAAAAAATCTGGAAGGATTTGGACTTACAAAACATATTTTTTATTGTATCTAAAGCAGCAACTTGATTATCTCAACTCTAGGTTGCACATTTAGTTTTCACCGAGTGATAAAATCCTAAAATGGTGCACTTTTTTTTTTGCATAATTGTGTTTGTTTGCCGTTTTAGTCATTATCATGGTGTGGAAACCTCAGACAAATGTTCTTTTCCCAAAAAAAAAAAAAAATGTAAATGATCAGGGTTTACTGCCATGCTTGCACTGTTGATTGTGCTTTGTATTAATTGAATACTTTGGTTTCTTTCACATGAACTTTGAAGTCAGTATTAATTAACAGTCTACTTCACTGATTGTCCGCACTGTTTCAACCTCATGCTTGCTGTTTTCTTTCCTTAAACAACTCTAGCTTTGCACTTCTCTAAAGATAAAATGCTGTTTTGTTTAGTGCTAATCTAGTAATTTGCGGTGTTAGAGACTTATTTCCACAATAATCTAGATGATTTTAGGCTTCAGCTACTTTGTATTCTGCTTTAAACTTACAGAAATTCTTGCATGGATCTTTTTTATTCTAACTGCTCTGTATGCTCAGTAAAGAACTGTACAAGTATTGTAACTGTGGGGTTTAATTTGTCTGTGCTGTACTTTTAAAAATCTTAATAAAAGGTAAG